CTCCTGGCTAGTGAAGGGGTAGCACTCGTCTGTCACCACCCTGGGCAGAGGGACAAGGACATGAGGAGCGGAAGGACAACCCAGTTCCATCCCCACCCTGGACAGAGGGACAAGGACACAAGGAGAAGAAGGATGACCCGGCTCCATCCCCACCCTGATCCCCACTCTCCATCCCCATCCCCAAACCCCACTCTCCATTCCCACCTGGGCTGGCAGCCCTCGGTCCCTGCCTGCCCAAGGGACAGCCCTGGGGACAGCATGTGCACAGGGCACCCCTGGACTCTCCCCAGGTAACCAGAGCCTTGAACCCCCTTATCCCACCCCAGCACCGGGGCAGCCTCTGCCCTCCCATCCCATCCCCACTCACCCTCGCCTGCGGAGGTACCACCAGGCGCCATCCAGCCGTCCCCCGCTGCAGCCCCGCTGGTTGCGGGTGTCGCAGGACAGGAGGTTTTGGGGTGACAGGGCGGGCGTCATGTGCCCCATGGAGTGGATGGAGATGCGGTCCGAGGCGACAGCTGCGAGCGAGCAGGGGGTCAGGGAGCGGCGGCTGCTCCCCTGGGTCCTGCCCTGCTCCCCAGCCCCGTGGCAGCAGCTTTAGTCCCTGTCCCCACCAGCCACCCCATCCCATCCCGTCCCATCTCACCCGCCGTGGAGAAGGCCCAGGAACCGGCACAGTTGCCCTGGTCCAGGGGCTCGTGGATCATCCCGGGCCACTTCGCGGCTGCATCAAAGTGGCGGGGCAGCACCTCGTTGGAGTCCATGTTCATCTGCGGAGGCAGAGCCGAGGGGTGCTCACCACACAGGGAACCCCCTTCTTTCCCCCCAACTCCCAGCAGCCCAGGGCGCATCCTCAGAGCCGTGGCCAGTGTTAGCATCCCCCAGCCCCACTGCAGGGCCCCTCAGGATGGGGACACCCACCACCCTGGCCAAGCGTGACCAGGATTGGGGTGCCCCCTTGTCCCAGAGAAGCCGGATCCCTCAACTTCCCCTAAATTCAGGCTTCTCAGCCCCAGCGGCTCCTTCTGCAACAACAGCACCGAATCTCCGGTCTCGGACCCCAGCAAGGGCGGCGCTGTCCTGCAGC